GCTGGCTTACCTCCCTGGCATTATGAAGGTACCGCCTTTGTTTCATTCCACCCAGCTTCAGGGTTTTCCTGGGACTCAGGTATCAGAGCTTAGCCACCAAAGGGCTTTCTGTCGGCCCCTAAACTGAGGTTCCTCCAGCTCCTGGAATTTCCCCCACCCCCACGCCACAGCTGTTTCTCTGGGCCTAAGCTCAGTAGAAGGAGAAAAAAGTGGAAAAGGAATGGACGTGACCCCATTCCTCTGTAACTAAAAGCAAAACTTACACGGAACTCAAATGGAAAAAGAGATTCGATCTGGGAGTTTTTTCCAGAGTGGAATGCATACTGTAGAACAATTACTGTCGTCATCGTTTGTGAGCTGGTTGTGGGTTTTAACAACCATTTTGCTGACTTTTTGGCAGCAAGTGAGAGTTTTCCTATTCAATTAGACCTTTGGGAGTCCTCTTAAAATCCCATGGAATCATCTGTCTCCCCACCGGAAAACACTGATTGGTATTAATTTTCATCCTTTCCTTTTTGATGTTGAAGTAGACTGAAAACTTCCTGCTTTTCTAATATGTTCTTTTTCTTTCTGCCTTTCCCCCATCGCAAATGATTATGGAATTTCCAAATACAAGGAGCTAGTGGTGGAAAATGAAGGAAGAGTCCTGGTACAGGCTCAAATATCTAAGGATCCCAAATGGGAGGCATAAATGTGCTCTTAGTGAAAGTCTAGATGCGTTGATTAGCAGTGGGCTGCAGAATTTAAATATCCTTAACAGGGTTAAAACTAGAAGAAATTTTCCTCTTTTGTATGCAATTGTAGCTAACTAATCAAAGAGCAAACATCTTTTAGACTGAACTCAAAGTTCATTAAAGCTGCTTAATTATAGTCTGGAGCCTTTGGATATATATTTCCATTTGATTTGAAATGGTATTATAGAATATTTCTGGTATGCCAAACTCAAATTAGAAAAATACAAAATAGTAAATAAACAATTATTTTTATGTTCTGCTTGTTAACACTTTAGATACTTTTGTAAAATTCTTAGCGTGTTTATGATTCTCAAATCTCTGTTTTATTTCTAATGTTCAAAGTTTCCTTGGCCTAACTTAATTCTAGTTTTATTTTTAGGTTTAGAATGACTTACATTCATCTTCTTTCACCCTGAACTTTTTGTCCGTTATTATCAACATGGAATTTATGTTTGAAACAAAAATCACTGAGTCTGAAACTCCCGGTGTTATATTTACTTGTTCAGAGATTATGAATCCCACCAAGTTAAATGAAAACTGTGAGAACCACTGGTGCAAATGGCATTCTGGTCTTTTTGGACACTCTGCAATGTGATAGCTGCAACAAAAAGTAGCGTTAAGTCCCTGGGGGAAAATGCAGGATCCATTGTTCCATCTTTATCTATAGCCTGTTTCTTTGTTAGCTTCTTTAGCACTTTCTGGAAACTTAACTCTTTTGTGGGTATTGCCTCATATAACAACTCTTCAAAAAATACAGCTATAAGTCCTGGAAAATAGGATTTAACAGTGTCACTGTTTCTCTTTTTTGTTAGAAAAATTTAGTCAACATCTTCAAGTCTGATTTAAAACAGGTGAGGTTTTTGAACATGGATCCAATTGATGTTGATCTCCGAGTTACAGAGAGGGCTCAGTACAAGAAAGCCAAATATCAGCTTTCTTACTGTAGGATGACAATTATTGTAACTGAGTGATCAAAAGAATTCGAATAAGTAGGGCAGCACTTGTAAGACTTCAAAAAACAAAAAAAGTTGGAGGATTTTACTACCTGAATTATCTGATAGGGAACCTGGCCATCTCTAGGAAGATAACTACATGACTGTAGCATGAAGAATTCAAACCAAATGGAATTGAATGAAAGACAAGATCATCAGCGGCCTGGATAATTTAGTTAACCCATGACTTCGCAGTGAGGTAATGTCATAGATAAGAATGCTTAGCTCTAAGTGCAGGAGATTTCCCAGGCAGTATTTTGCAGAATTGTTTGGGATTCTCAGGACAAAAGATAACATAAGAGACATACATGAGACCATTATATGCGAAGAAAATATTAAGTAATTTTGAATGTTCTGAAAATGGTAAAAAAGCAATGTGATGGGAAGAAAATGATACTCAAGAGAAGGACCTTAGAATGTGGGATAAAGCTGAATATTTGGAGCAGCTTGCTTGATGTATTCATTTTTTTCTTTCATTCTGAAAAACATTGTTTTGGACTGGGGAAGGAGACTGGGTCTTTACAGATTAATAATTTATTTAAAAGTTTCTTTATTTTGCTCCTCTTGTGTTTATCAAATACATTATGGTAATAACCACTAGTCCAAAATGCTCCATCCTTAGTTCTCAAATAAAAAAATTAATAAAATATGGACTGGCTCAAAATGCTAATATCACATCGATCCTTAAAACTCCCTTGTCTGGGTCTACCAGAGTACTTTCCTCTGATTAAAGACTGCAGAAGAAAATCCCCCCTCAGAAAATCACACGATGCCTTTGATCTGTAAAGGCTGCTCGGCATGTGTTTCTGAATCTTCCTTGTGCCCAATTTAGTGTCTTATAAGTACTGAATAAATATTTCATCGATGGAATAAATGACCTAAACATGTTAGGAGACCCAAAGTCAGATAAATGAAGGAGCTAGAAAGAGAAATCTAGGAGACCTAGGCTCTAATATCAGTTCTTCTACAAATTCAATTCAATTTAAAAAAGGATTTATTCAGCTCCTTATTATGTGCCAGGAATTGTAGTAATCAAGGTGCAAATCAATTCTGCTTCTGAAGAAATGGCATAGCTGCAGTTAGGTAATGTGCACACATACACAATGTAATAGCATAGCTACAGATTATAACTAGCAGAGAAGAAAAATTAGCAAATTTATAAATGATTATTTTGTATCCAGTTTGATTTCCAAAGCTATTTACCTAAGATTCTGCCTTTATTGCACACCATTAGTGACCTGGGGTGTCTTCAAGTTTGCATTTCAGACAGGAAGGCAGACTTTCACTTGCTAAAACTTTCACATGCTAACAGCTGTAATTAAGGTAGAAGGCCTTATTTAAATAGTAATTAGCCTTCAGGACTTGAAGTGTAAACAGAACGCTAATTCATTTAGATAGTTAATTGATCTTCCGGGTTATAGATGTTAGCATCGCGTTCCTCTTTAGCTATGATGTATTTATGCTCCGAGTATAGACAGCGTGTTGACTCAGTGGGATGAAATTTTGCAAACTCTTGCTTGACTCCCAGAATTTTATCTTTTAATTCTCCAGTAATGACTAATGCAAATGAATTTGAAAACACTGTGAAAACATCAAGTAAAATTCTATGGCAAAATCATTAACACTTGATTTTTCTTCATAATTACAGAGACCATATGGCCCAATTTATTCATGTTATTCCAACATAATTATTGACAGCTCTTCTTTCATACTCAGGAATATCTTGGTTTGGAGATAAATTATGCGGTCGCCCTAATTGTAATCAAAGATGACACAACATACAGTGATTGCTGTAACTAAAGGTGTAGGTAAGATTGGTTACCTTTTCCAGTGAATCCCATGACAAACATCAAGGTCCTTCTCCCAACTTACTGCAATAAAGATGGCTAGCCATTGATGTTAAGTTTAAAAGGTCATCATTTATTTTTGAAGGACAACCAGTTTACCAGGAATTTTGTCATTGCCTTTACCGTAAATGTAAAGGTCTGCCAATCACTCTTGCTCAAAAAAAAAAAAAATTGTATTTGATAACCGCATATCTCTGTGCTGTTGTGGTTACTCAGTCCTATATGGAAGTTGCAAGAAAGGTGGGTCTGATGTTGTTTCACTTTTAAAAATATGTTTCTTCTTGGTTACTCCAGCTCATCACACTGCAGCAGAGGCTTAGGCCTGCTCCTAGCCATCTTTCCAACCCATGCATCCACACAGACCTGTATAAATAGCACATATCACACTAATTCAACAGCTATTTAACGAATGCAGCGGCTGGCACATAGGAGGCATTCACAGATCTTTATTTAATGAATAAATACTGATCCCACCTTTGACTCTATGCTAGATGCTACCAGCTAGGTGGTAGGAAGAGGGAGAAGAGAGAAAGCTCTATCGAGTGGGTTCTGCCCTCAAGGGGTTAACAGTCTCCAAGGGGAAGATGTAAATAAGTAACTATAATTGAAGGTAAGAATCGTTAAGCGCCAAAAGACTCTCTAACTATGAGTGGGAGGTAGAGCTCCCTGGGGCTGGAGAGGGGATGCAGGAGGGGCTTGAAGAAGGAGAGCTAGATATTTGAATGTAGGATTTTCTCCCAGGGCAGGGTAAATCCGGACCCAGACCGAGTCCGGTGAATAAGAAAGGGCTCTCTTCATGTCAGTGGCTGAAATTGTGCACACGATATATTTTCTTTGGCTGGCTAACAACTTTCCCTTCGCCATTGATGACTAATCCAGATGAGCATTAGCTCGCTTTGCAAATATGAATAATACTGCAATATATAACGCTAAAAGCTACCAATTTATTATGATTCATTTTCCTTGCGAAGCTGAAAATATTGCAGCAGCATTCAAAGAGAAGTGAGTTAAATTGTCACTATGTCATCCAAAATATAAAGTGAAATAATTTTACCTTAAGAAATTTAAAATAAGGAAAGCTTAATCGCAGAGCAAGATTGATACAAAGCATTTAAAATGAACAGAACATGCAGATCCTACTTTGTGTGTGTGTGTGTGTGTGTATATTGTTGCTCATACCGAGACAGACTGTTCTACCAATAGGACCCGGGCCTCACCCTGGCCAACGGGCTCTCCGGGACGCACGCCCGAGCTACTGCCCGCCCCTTGAAAAGGAAAGTACGGCCCAGGACACTCCGGGAGTGTGCGGGAAGGGCTCAGAGAGGGAAAGTAACCAGAGGCGGCCGTTTCGGGCGGCCCCGCCCCCTCCCACGAGTTTCGCTGGGCCCTGGGCCCCGCCCCCTCTTTTATGCCGAGAGCAGCGAGCGGAGCTGAAACTTTGTAACCCGAGCGCGCACGCCCTGGCCTGCTCCCTGCCCCGGTGCGACCGAGAGGGAGGCGCGGGAGGTGGGACGCGCGGGCGGGAAGGCTCGGGGACGCCGGCGCACGCGGAGCGGGGACCCCGGGAGAGCTCGCCGCGAAGAGGAGGAGCTGGGCGGGGAGCGGAGCGCGCGGCCCGAGCACCGGAGGAAGTGATCCCGGCCGTGGCTGCAGAGGAGCAGCGGGGAGCAGCCGGGCCGGGAGGGTCCCGCGCCGAGCGGAGGCCAGGGGGGCTGGGGTCGCAGCCCGGCGTCCCCGCAGCTGCCATCGCCCAGGAGCAGCAGCTGTGCCCGGGCTCCCGGCGGCGGCGGGGGGAGGAGGAGGAGCTGCCGCTGGACGGTGGCAGCTGGAGGAGGAGCCGCACGGCTGTCCCGTGTGCCGGGGAGAGGGCCGCGCCGCGCTGGCCGAGCCGCGCGGGGATGAGCCGCTGACCGCGGCCATGCAGCCTTGACGGGGCGCTCGGGGACCAGCCGCAGGGCGCGCTCTCCCGGGAAGGGGCCGCGGGCGCAGGCAGCAGGACTTCACCGCCGACTCGAGCCCAGCGGGGAGCGAAGCCATTTACCATGGAACCCGTGACCAAGTGGAGCCCCCAGCAAGTGGTGGACTGGACCAGAGGTGAGCGGACCCGGGGGGCCCGGCGTCTCCAGCCCCGGGGATGGGGCGGGCGGGGAGCTGGGGTAGGGAGTGCTCAGCCGCTCCTGCAGGCGAGAAAGCGCAGCGTGGTGACAATGCAAACTTCTTCGGAGTGGCCTGTGCACCCCTAGCTCTTGTGCCTCCTTTCGGGGGTGCGGGTTGTGGCAAGCCGAGGGGAGCCCCGTCTTTAAACTGGGGAGTAGGGATGGCCTCTCTTAGGGAGGGTGAGGGTTGGCGGTGCCGATCTCGGGACTGGGTAGGGGGCTCTGCGGGGCAGGGGCGCCCTCCTTGCCCGGCCTGGGTGCGGTGCCCGGCGCCCCGGCTGCCCGTCCCGGAGCGCAGAGGCACAAGGCGCCTTTGTGTGGGTGACTCCCCGCGGACCTCGTAAATGCCGCCTGCCCAGAGCGGTCCGCATCGGGACGAGGGTGTTGGACAGGTAGAGGGAGACTCCGGCGGCTCGCCGAGCCTCTCTGTTTTTGTTGGAGAAGGCGAGAGGTCAGCACAAGTGCCAACACAGGCGTTCGCGCTGGCGAGAAACCTTGAGTCAGACTCCCCGGGCCGCGGCGACTTTTGCTCCGGGATGGCGCCAGTACCCCCGGTGGCGCTGCATTTTTAGGCCACATTTAAACCCTGGGAAGAAGGAATCGAACTGTTTTGAACCACTCGCCTGAGTTATGCTGTATTTGGGGTGAGGGAAAGCGGGGGTGTGGCGGTCATGGGGGGTCGAGCAGGGGTGGAAGCTTGTACTCTGAGCTGTCACCCTTACTTTTTGGTAACTCCCAAGATTTCCAGGGAAAGGTGATAGAGGTTCCTTAAACCTCTCTGTACTCTTCCAAGAGAACGAGTCCACCAAGAACAACCTATGTTTTCATGGGTTCCTCCCTCCTCTCCCAGCTCAGCATCTCTTATTTCAAGTTACTGTTTTTTTCTTTCTTCTATCTGGTCTTCCAGGTGAGGAATGGTGTCCTTTCTCAATAATAATAACTAGAATTGTATAGCACTTTACAGTTTGCTAAGAGCTCTCTCTCTGTTATTGCCCTTGGTCATCACAGTAAGCCTGTGAGGTAGGTAATACTGGTAAGATCAGGTCATCTTTCAAACTCGCTCATCCGTGGCTGCGGCATAGTGAACACTGGTCATCTTTACATCTCATTTCTCCTGCCGGTGTAGTACACAGAGACCACATGCAATGGGGTGTCCTACATGTATGAAATGTATGGGATGTGTCAGTGGGGTATGTCTGACCATTTCCTGCTGCTCTGGGACAGGGGAAGGGATACACTCTTTCCTGAGAAGAGGTTTGTCCAGGGACCAAAATTTCCTGGGCTCTTAATATGAAGATGAAAACAGCAAACACTGGTATATTGGGTAAAGAGTAATAGCGTTGTTAGTGGTTGGCACAAAACATTAACTTAAAAGCTATAAATATTCAGACCTTATTTTGAAATGGGGTGTATTCCCCCATTTAAGATACTACCAGATTCCCCAACTACTGACTTTCGGAGACTGAATTGGTTGATCTATTTTACTTGTATGTCCATCACAGAGGCAACTTAAGATACTGACGATTTCAGCAATTTTTGACCTCAAGAGCTGCTCTGTCCAATATGGTAGCCAGTAGCCACACGTGGGTCTTAAGTCCTTGAAATGCAGCTAGTCAGAATTGCTATATGCTGTAAGTTTAAAATACACATGCGAGTGAAGACTTGGCAGGGAAAAAAGAAAGTAAACTATCTTGATTTTTTATACTTGTTACATGTTGAAATGACAGTATTTTGGATATATGAGGTTAAATAAAATTTATTATGAAAATTAACTTCACCTGTTTATTTTTACCTTCTTAAATGTGGCACCAAAAAAATTGAAAATTACACTTGTGGCTCGCATTTGTGGCTTGCATTATATTCTATTGGACCGTACTGCTCCAGAGTAAGGAAGGAGTTACAACTTATCACTCTTTGCCTTTCCTGAGCCTCTGCCAACCTACTTGATAATGTACAATCAGAAAAATGGAAACAGGCACACAGGAAGATTATGGAGTGAGATCTTCACATCCACAAGATTTGTCTTTTTTTTGGGTCTCTCGTGGGATCGAGAGAGGAGAAGTGTAAATTTATATCCTGTTATGTTCGTTTAGCTTTTAAAAGGAAGAGCAGATTAAAATGTTTTTGGTATCCCATTGCCTTGATCTTCAGACTTAGCTGCGAGTGCTTTCGTCTAGGGAAAATTTCCTGCTGACCTGAAAGGGCAATTGTGGGTGCTTCGGTGTCTTGGTGTCCGGAGCATTGGTTACTGATTAGGTCACATACCTGTGGTTAGCACGTGGCAACTTTATACAGAATGCTTGTGCCCTTTTGGACCCTTAAGTACAGCCTCATAGGATGACCTGGATACTTTCTGTGTTACAATCTAGAAAAGATAGAAGGAGCAAGTGTGTGGCTAACTCTTAGATGACAAGAGGCTACATTCTGCCAAATTGCGTGACACATGACTTGAATATTTTTTATAGTAGTGATGTAAAAGTATTGACTTTTTAATTAACTATTGACTTATGCAAACTTGTTTGCTTATAGGACTATTTTTAGCTGTCTTTGCTAACCTCTCTATCCAACTGCCATTTTATAAATACATCCTACTGATAAGCAGCTCTTCATGTAGACTTTGCCACTCTTGGTATTGCATGAGTATGGGTATGATGATTATGAACGCTGTAGAAAGGCTTGGGTTTAAAACTATCTAACCCTGTCCACAAGCGACAGCTTGCTCTCATGTTGATGTTATTAGGCAGGTGCATGCATTAGGAAAAAGGCTGATGTCTACAGAATGAATTAATTCATCTGGCTTTTGTTATTATTATTTTTTATTATAATAGTTTTTATTTGTGTTAATCTTTAGCTATCCTGTTACCAATTTTATCATTATACTAGTAGATCCTCAGTGAGTGTCAGCAGTGTGTCAGCACAGGTCAAAGCATTTACAAGTATTAACTTATTTAATATGCATAACCATGCTTTGAGGCAGGAACTATTATTTTGCAGTTGAGGAAACTGAGGCACAGAAAGGCTAAGTACCTTGACCAATGTCACACAGCTGGGAAGTGACAGCAGCGTTTGACCCCAGGCGATATAGCTTCACCATTCCATCTTCTCAGGAGGTTCTTCCCAGGGTCACTCCTAGAGGACTCAGAATCTTCACTCATTGATGAATAGACCTTTAGGGTTCCCATGATGTGAGATACTAATATCATACGTTAGTGGAGGAAAGGCACCCGGCAATGTGTGTGCCTTATTCTACATATTCGGGGTATATGTCAGGGAAGTTATTTGTAAGTCAAATTAATTCATACTTCATGGCACCTTGCCTTTCAGATGACTCAGAAAAGGCTTTTGCAAAGCGAATGATCTTTTACAACGTGTGTCAGATGAGAAGAAGGTCAGTTGCACATAACAGAAGACCCAGTTTACAGTGGATTAACCAAATGGGAGTGTTGATTTTCTTCTGCAAAAGAAGTCTGGAGATAGGGAATTCAGGACCATATGGGGGCTCTGTGGTGCTGGCCGGGGCCCAGGCTCCTCTGTCATCCTGTTCAGCTATTCTTAGCATGTGACTTAGCATGTGGCATTCATCTTCATACTTAATGCCTCAATGCAAGATGGTGGCTCCACCTCCAGGAGCACGTTGCTATACCAGACAGGAGAAAGGAGACCCAGAGAAGGGAAAAGACTCGTGGTAGCCAAGTCTTCCCCTTTAAAGAGCTCTCCTAGAAGCTCCATCAAGTGACTTGGCTTACATCTTAGTTGCCAGACCTGTCAGGTGGCCGCCTTATGCTGCAAGGGAGGCTGGTCACCCTAGTGTTTGTTAAGTTGGATTCATTGTGGCCCTCAAAAAAATTGGAGTTTGTTCAGTAAGGACGATGGGGAGACTAGATATTGGTAGGCAACCACGAGTGTCTGACACATAGTCATTGACATGTACTGATTTTCATAGATCAGTTCTCAAAGTAGGACCCGTCACAATTTCCCACTTTCATCCAGCCCATGGGTCAGCCCTGTTTTATTTTTTATTTATTTATTTTTTTATAATTTTATTTATTTATTTATTTTTTCCCTAAAGCCCCAGTAGATAGTTGTGTGTCATAGCTGCATATCCTTCTAGTTGCTGTATGTGGGACGTGGCCTCAGCATGGCTGGAGAAGCGGTGCATCGGTGCGCGTGCGGAATCTGAACCCGGGCCGCCAGCAGCGGAGCGCACGCTCTTAACCGCTAAGCCACGGGGCGGGCCCAGCCCTGTTTTAGAAATAGTATTATATTTTCATTCCTGTTAAGCTTTCTCAGGTCAAAACCTTAACTTATATGAGGTCTTTGTCTCTAAGCTTGACTTAAATATTAGAAGTTGCATTGTAAAAAGCAACTACCTGAGCTGTGTTTCTGCTTTCGGGCCTTCGGAGAGTATCATCAACAAGGAGGAAGGGCCATTGGTTTGTCCCAATAGCCCTGTCCGTCCTGCCCTTGGTCAGTGATCTGTCTGCAATGGGCGGGCTCTCAATAGGTGTTGAGTGAGCACATCTATAAAACCAGTTTAGTCCCAGAACAGAAGTCTCTCTGGCCAGCTTCTGACACTGCTGGCATGGGTAACATTTCCCCATCACCAACCAAGAGTAAAGGGGGCTTTCTTGCTCGAGGTCTGAGCCTGTAGGATTCAGGGCATTTGCCAATTCTCTGTAATCTGCCCATGGCCACTGCTCTTTCCCTGTAATGTCCATTAGTATGTGGCACAGCAGCAGTATGGTCACGGAGGAGTTGGAATTTCCACCTTAACTATAGAGATCTGGTATGTTGTCAACTGAAGTGTACCACCTAGCTCTGTGAGGCCCTTCTCATGGATGCCAGTTCTTTTTGTGATCCTAATTCCAGTTAGGTTATACTTTTTCCTTTAGCCTCTCTGGTCACTGAAAAAGGGAGGTCCTTTCTTTTGGCAGTTGT